CTGTGTAAAGCATTAGATGTTTTGCCTCAAACAAACAGAAATTGTGGTCCTCAGTTTCATCCCAATCGACGCCCGTTAACAAGGTATACTGACAAACATAAATATAAGTTGAAACCAACACCGTAATAGGATGTTCGTAAAAGTAGGAAGGTAACGAAATGTGTTTGAAGCTATAAAGGTAAATAAGTGGGTAATCAACATATGGCTTTACTCAAACGTGCAATGATGCAATTTTCCATTTATTACATCGGTAATGCCATGGGTCAGTAACATTCACATATGAAAAATTGAGTAGAGATATGTGATGGACCAAAGGCTTAACGAGAGCTCAGTTATATTATACGGGAATACAGATTTTAATTCTTATGAGGTGTAATGTATATACAATCTGATTTAAGTCTAGGTATTCAGCTTTTACTTCTCGCTGCCATGTAAGAATTTACTATAAAAATTAAAGGCATTCGCTTTTGAGATCAATATCCCCTTGCTAAAATCCATGTTCAAAGACTCGTTAACTTTTAATAAGTTGACAAAACAGTTCTATTTGATGAATAATTTGGTAGACACTAATCCTAGTGGTCAAAAACCTTAATTTCGTGAATAACCTACCCATTATTGCTTTAAATAAACTTTAGTCATACTTACTATGTATAGATTGTTTTGTATAAAAGTTCATCAGTTAATCTGTATATATTGTTGATTATTAATGAGTTACTTTGTGCTTTTTGCATTACTAGTCCAGATGCGCACACACACACACACACACACACAACGCATGGAATAAAACAATACTGTACACATCGAACGATGTATTGGAATTCAGTTATACTTTCAATAGAGAAAAGAGTAACCGATTATTTTACAAAACCCTCATTAACTTCCATATTAGGAATGAGAAGCAAATTATTTCTTTGATTCATACAAGCAAAATGACGAGATCAATGTTCACGCTGTTCTATTTTGATGTAAATATTCTAAGACTATGGAAAACCGCATCCCGAACATGCTCGCATTGTTGCTTATGGTAGTCAGCATACTCTGCATTTTGTCAGCTTCTTCACCGAATAGAACTACGTCATCGGCATATTCACTGACAAGTGGACTCAGTCACGTTGGTAGATGTAGGCTATCTGGTTGGGATCCGCGAGACGAAAGTCAACAATCGTTAGAGATATTGAACGACATGCTCAAAATCGTTTGCAATGGCACAAGCCAATCCATTCCTTATGCTATCTCAAATCCTACTCTTCTGGATTGGTCAGCACCTCTACCTTATCTCACTGAATTATGCTTCTTGAATAATATCTTCAAACCCTAATCTTCCTCATTTACCATTAATACCTCTAGTATCTTGATCACTATGGGATTTGATTTGACATTTGCGTGGAATGGCAACCTGAACTTATGTACATATGTACGAAGTTCTACGTTGCAACTGACTGACGGAGATCCACAGCTTCATTCTTAGCCTCATTATCATTAAGTAGGACCCTAAGAGGTTTCCTCGCGGTGTCTTTCCTACGTGCAGTAAGCCTCAAACAAATACGCGCTCTCACTAGGGCATGATCTGAATCTAAAAATGTGCACCAGGACGAGCGAAAGTCTTCTATCGAACACCTCCATCGGTGGCTGATGGCGATGCGATCTAGTTGCGTCCAACGTTGAGACGAATTGGGGGTCTCCAGGTCAAAAGATGTTTTTCCTTGTGCTTAAAATTAGTTTTTCCTGGAAATAGTTGGTTATCTGAGCACAGCTGCAACAGACGGTCGCGATTGTCTGTTCTTTAAGCCGCGACAATATCCACCCACGTGTCTTTCTGCTCACTTAGTCTACCTACTTGAGCATTGAAGTCACCAGCCATTATAAATATATCAGAGCGCTTACCTTTTTGGAGGAGCTTCGAAAGCTTTCTGTAAAACTCTTCTTTCACCTCGTCTGAACTGCAGTCAGTGGGGGCAAAGGCAGATACGACGAAGAGGCAACGACGGGTGTCCCTATCTTTCCGAATCCTCACTGTCCCGTTCAGTCGGACAGCGCACAAGCAACTGTCTACTGGGAGCCGGTGAAGGAGCGCTCGTTCTGCCCTACGACCCAATGCTATACCTACACCAGCGACACCACGGGAAGCGTCATCAGGGCTACCGGATACACGAAGAGTAAGTCGGTATGCTTCTTTATTTCGATCAGATTAATGATTTTACTAGGATCCTGTATGCGCGTTTCCGAGACGCAGCACACATCGACGGCACGAGATTCTAATGTCCTAGCTAATGATGCCTGTTTGCCTATTTGATAGAATATCCTTAAATTAAAATCCCGAACATTTAATCTAGAGCTGGGTTTCAGGAGGCCAGGAATAACTTTTCGTGAACTCGCATCGTCTGCATTAGCGGTGCAGTGAGATAAGGGGATTTGGGGACTGGACACCATTACATTCGATTTAAGATTTCAGTCAATCTAGCTGCGGAAACTGGAGCACCATCCTTAAACATCTCAGGAGTTAGCCTATCAGACGAAGTGTGGCTCGAGGCCTGTTGAACTGATCCCTCAAGTGTTCTGCCAATCGGTCCAGTCTCCTGGATTGAGAATGGAAAATAAGACCATCCTTTTCCGAAATAGTCTCACTCACATTGCGTCTCTGTGCTAATGTGATATGGCATCATGAACTGATGTACTTACGTACGAAGTTCTACGTTGCAGATGACTGACTGAATGTATATTTGCTAACCAAACATAGATCAGTAACCTCACTTATCGGGTATAGAGTTCTAGTGCTATTCATAAAACTACTCATCAAATATTTATCGTGTATCCTTTAAATTACACACTACAGGGGACGGTTACTAGTCTCAAACTAAACTCAATAACTAAACAAGGGGTATTTTGGACCACAATGGGCAACCGTTTAACTAAAATACACGGAAAATGAGTCAAATACATCAATATAACTGTGCAGACACTGTTAGGCCTCGTCCCATCGCAGTTGAACACAAAGAAAACTCGAGGTCGTTCATTCGTACTGGAAATGTTTAATAATATCACAGAGACGAAATAAGCATAAGTTGCAAAGCGAAAAGCATATCACATATATCTGAAACTACATAAATAAGAGGTGTGTTTACTTAAAGGTTACACATTAAGATATAGTAATGAAAATTATTTATCACCAGTTCGTAAATAATGATAAACTAAGAAATCAAGACAGCTGATTCTGCAAAATAATGATAAAAAAATGAAAAAAACGACAGTTTTGTATCTTAATAGAACTAAGATAGATCATATGTGAGGTTATGAACATGATTGGTATCCGAGGCAAGATTTTCAGGCGCTGAAACACAAAGAAAATACTAAACTAAATCGACAGTTATCAACAACTGCGTACTGTGTGCAGCGATTACACGTCCACGTTCACCTTTATGTGGCGAGCCAAACAACAGGCTATGATAGTGCTCAATAATTGGAAGAAGCATACACCAAATACGACACAAGCAACAATTATTAGGTTGCGTTTAAGGAATGTTCCAAAGATAGGCAGACAGCCCTGAAAATAAAATAGGTAAAATCGTCATTATACAATATAAGAATTAGTTAATGAGTTTGTGTCATTGAGACTAGCCTTAAGTGATAAATAAGTGTTATCTATCACCTGTCAATGCTTTAAAGACTGCCTACGAAGTCTGGGAAGTCAAACAATGCTCAGAACGAGTCCGTAACTGTAGGTCGTCGTTATATCAGAACTTAGTCACTAATAGGTTGAATTAAACTGTTCAAGATCAAACATCGTCTAATTGGAAGCTGTGGTCGCAACAAGGTCACGAGATAACTAACCACTGACATCATCCATTGTTCGACGGACTCGGGCATTGTCCAGTCATATTAAATGACGAAAACTTGGTTTATATCTGCAGTTTACCAATATTGCCCAGATGTGTGTGCCGACTGCTGAAAAACGAGCACTTCGTCGATGGCAAGTGAACTCTGTAAATTAATGAGTTCATAAGATTATAGTTTGAAAAAAGACATAAAAAGGATGCACCTCCAACATTACAAGTGATTTTGAGCCATGTCATCCAAAATCTCTAACCATCAATTACTATTGTCTCGCGGAACGCAACCTGGTAGTCTACACATACCGACATGGCTCAGTTCAGTTGCCAATGGTTTCATGGATTTGTGCTACGTTTTGGTACGGCCTCACATAACGAAACACTAAATCTTTCCAAGTTTTTAGCCGAAGAATTAGAAAACTGGATAGTTTTGCTTATTACAAAATGAATTAGCGCTTCTTTGGACGAATGGGAGGACTAAGTGAGACAATTCTTCAGTAGAAGAGTGGGAACTTAAGCATCATCCAACAAAATGCTGATAAACATTTTCGACCAGATTTTTTGACAATGATTTGTGTTTCATTAAAGAATGAAAATGGTTTGGAAAAAGACTGGTATTTACTGAGTACTCAATTATGAAAATACAATGACCACAGTAATAGTTTAGTGCAATATACAAAAGATAACCAACATTCCCGGTCTACAATTCAAACTAATATCTAAACACACAGAAACACTCAAACTATAACACACGCTCCACATACAAATTCTTTTCGCTGGCGAGTATCTTCAGTCATGTGATAACTCGTTAAGCTCGTGGTTAAAAAAACATTTTGCTTTGATCAGTTGATCTAGTTGGTCAGTTCCCTTGTACTTCCTCAAGTCTATAGCTACTAGGTGAAACTACATTCGTACACAGAAACATCATGAATGATATACACAGGACAAAATGGTTTCACAAATAAAAATCCCCTTCACGATGATTAGTCACGTCAACATAACGTGGAGTGAAGTCTTACAAAACCGACCATACGACGGTTGAGTTTTCAGTGACATATTTTTACTAATAAAATAAACACGCTAACCCATCGATAATATCTTCAGCACAGCTGAATACATCACACTTGTGAATCAACACTTGATCAACTAGTAGGTTAAATAACTAAAAATTACCTCTGTGTACGTTTCGTCCCCATTTTTACACGACATCGGCTTTTCTTCCTGATAATCTTCAGGACCTTTGACTCCACAACATTGGAACTACAGAAATTTGAATGCAGCTATGACTTACTGACGACTGAACCAAATCCATGAATGCCATGATCTCTTTGGTCGGATTATCTAGAGCACCAGTCATCAACTTGTTAAGCTCATCATCGATCTTGCTCCTGAAGACAAATGCAACTGCAGCAGCAGCTAACTCAGCGACCAGAAGTATGATGAGTAGAAACGAATACTACCAAATATAACCAAGCTAAAGTAACCTACCAGATGCAGCATGCAAACATTCTCTTTTATAGCCCCACAACAACCCAGAAAGCTTACAATAAAAACGATCACTCCTATAGCAATTACAGCAAAAGGTGCTGTCTGCCAGATCTTGTGCAAGCTGTCACCATAGGAGCTAAACTTAACATGAACATAAACTCCAGTTCCAATTAATGCAAGAGAACACAGCTAATAGTTAAGGCATAAATAATTAACTTATATTACTAGGCAGATAGTGTTTGAAACAAAAAGAAAGCCCTTTAGAAAAACCATTCCGGACCAAACAATTGACACTTTAACTGCTTAGCTTGAAGGTACTTTTGGCACTAGTTGAGACGGCAGAGTGGCCTGAGTGTTGAAAGCAGAAATAAAGAAATAGGAGTAAAATAAGTCTATAATTCAGCGAATGCACTCACATTTATTAATGTATTTATTAAACAACAATGAGAGAAAACACACTAAACTAGGACAACCTGGAAGCCAAAACCAAGAGATAAGTGACGAGCTTGTGAATATCCTAAGGTCCCGCCACCATCGGCAAATTTTCTTCAGTGGAACACTCAAACAAACGTTCACAAATATCCACTGGCATTGAAAAATAATAAAATTTGAAGAACATGCTTTTTCTATTATCGCCTAATCTTCACGGCTAATGAACAACTTCTTGACAAATGAGGCCAAACTTGCACTCTTCAAAATGTGGATGAGCCCCTCCATTAAAAATATTCCCCACTTATTTTCCAGACACGAATATCATATACAAGATATGAGAAGAAAATATCCAGAGACGTTTCACACGGCAAACGCTAGGATGGAGCCAATGATGCAAACATCCCTCCCTGGAACTTCTTTGAAGCCGTCGGTTGGAAAACAACATAATACTCTTCTATCAAATCATATACTGCCTCTCGTTTGTAAAATCCTGCCCAGTTGTCTACCACGATGCTGCTTACAGACTCAGAAACAACGTACATACACTGCTGATGGCAAAACACAATAATTCATTGCGTTGTAATTGCCTCGTAACATGATACAGTTAATTTGGAAACGGATTATCGAATTTTATCCGTACCAAGACTCACACTAAATTCCAGAGCACGTTATTTATTGTCCACTTAATATCTGGACTAACATAAATAACTATTCACGTACCATGAATGCAGTGCACCACAGTTACCATTCATGCTAGTATCACGAAGTGATAGACACATTCCCCCACTCCAACTAACAGCTGTAGGTCACGCCCTCGTTCTGCTCCACCAAACATTTGGAGCTTCCCTATTATTTACATTCGCATCATTATCTTCTTATCTTTCACAGCATTTTTTCGTTTCTGGTAGAAAAATAAATTGAAAAGCCTGTAGATGCTGCTCAACTACTATCGATAACAAGGAAATTAGAGAACCCTACTTCTACCTGAAGTTCATACTATTGATTTAGTTCAGTAGAATGATAAAAGCTCCAAAAACTAAACCAACCAGCTCAGAGAAGGAAACTCTGTCATCATCATTCAGCTACCTGAGCTATAAATTTTCTTAACCATCATTTCAAAGTAGTGGCTGACGCAAACCATCAAGAATACTGCTCTAACGCTACTGAAGACTAATGGTTTTCTTGGGTGTATGTCCTATGGATGATGAATCTTCGTTTGTTACAGTAATTCTTCATTGATTGAGAAATGAGGGTTCAATCGTTTGTAAAAAACTAACGGTGATTTATTCTCAGGTAAGATCCTACGGTTGTAGAATCTCGAAGCTTTTAATTCACCATGAATTGTTGTTCTTATTATTAATACTACTATCACACACAGATTTGATGTGTGAATGGAATAAATACTCACCGAATACAGATAACAGATCATATCCGATAGGGATCACAATAAGTAAAAGGACAATATTTCATTCCATAACACGTTTACAGTACAAACAACCATTCTCAATGAGTTCAGAGAAGAATTCAGTGAGAGGAAAGGAAACTACTTCTGTAATAACCAGTAGGCTAAGTGCCTGTTTGTTCATTCTTAATGATCAATCACATCTTGTTTCCAATATCCACACATCATGTACCTTTTTTTCTATGTAAGCATGGAATTGAGACCATATCCAACCGTCTAACACATTGGCACACACACACAAATAAAATGATCATTTGATATCCATTCAATAATAATTTCGATGAAGTAACAATAGCAATAAAAAATATTACACTATTGACTCAACTTCACCACTTACCTCACCTAATTCACCTTGTATTATTCGGGCAGGATCAAGTAGAATATCTCTGTCTAATCGGTCAAGTCGACGTTTAAATGTTGCACTGAACAGAAGAGCTGAAAATTATCTTTTTAAATATCAGTCGATGTATATTTGTTCGAATTCACTCAAAACAATATGCATGTCAAGATGTTGGATAATGAATAAGAAACGGGTGATATTTTAGCGAGAGGAAAGGAAAGGGTAAGAAAGGCAGTAGAACCTTATCTGAGGGATGGCTATTTTCTGCTGTGTGATAAGGGTTGCAACTGTTCCAATCCTATTACACGTAATTCGATTCAGACAACCGGGTAGTAGCAGTACTGGTACTAATAATCATCACACTTACAGTGTGTAAATTAAATGTGTTAGCAGAATATAGATTGGAGAGTAAAGCGTGTCCAATTCAACACTGTGGGAGCACATCGATTAGCGCATTCTTAGGTAATCGACGCTACTGAGTGGTTGTTAGAGAAACCTTGACAATACTATTGTGTCGAAATTATGAAAAGACTAGCGTCTTAATCATTATGATTCGTTCACATTCAACTTCGTTTGTTAAAATATAATTATACACCTGATAAAGCCGTGCTTCGATATTGGAGACTAGCTGAGCCTTGTAAAGTGTTCGAAGAATAATAAACAGTAAGAAATCTGTATAGAATAAGTGAGATCACTAACAAAAGTTGAACGCTGAAATCTATGTATTGACTGATCTGAGTGACTTATCAATATCATGTTTGCCTAAGCTTTCGTTAGTCAGTCAGCTACAACCTAGAATTCGGCACATACGTATGATAAATCAGTTCATATTGTCATACTCTCATTAAAATAGATATGAAATTGCTAAGCTCGATCTCAGAATAGTACTCTTGGTTATAAGTGTCAACAGTATTGGAAAAGATTACTCATCGAAGACATGATTCGAGATGTTTAATCTAGTGAAATTAACTTGTAAAGACACAAAAAAATACAATGAAAAATCCAGAAGATTGGAGATTAGGAGAAGACTTTAGCGTTCATCGAATTCGATTGATCAAGTTATAAGTTGGCCAATAATCGTAGTGATCACATGTAATACTACCTGCATTGTGTTTTGTTGTAAGATGTTTGCGGGTAGTCAGTCCGCTGTAGACCGAATACCTAGGTAGTGACGTCTCTGACTCTAAAACTGGCAGACATGGGAATCGAGTCTCCCAAGGAGCATCAGTTCTCCAAAAAATTACTCAGGTCTTGAATTTCCTGTCAGCCGACCACATTAAACCCCACTAACAAGTGAATTTATGCTTGACGAGAAAATAAAATAGCACATTTGAACATGAGCAAAATATAGGAGATTGAGGCAGAGATGTGTTACAACGCCACAAGTTGAAATTTTTTCTCCATAATGTACTTGAAATTATAGAGGAAGGCTGGAAGGAGGGTATGCTTCAACTATTACGAGTTCACCTTAGTCGAATAACGAGAACAAAACAATGAACCAGTGTCCAGGTAGGCTAATATGATCCCTTGACCAAATCGAATCAGCAAGAGGTCTTGCTATAGTATAGAAATTGTATTCTACAAACACCCAGCAAGCACACAATGAATTCAAGTTCTCGAATTGCGTTTATTTATGCTATATAGAGACGTCCTTGGGACAGTCACAAAATAGCACACTAAAATGACACAGTAACCAAACACAGCCGAGGATTTTCCTGGTGGGAAATGTGATCTCAAGGTAAACTGATCGGTCCATGAAATCAAACCAAAATGAAGATATTTATGAAGTGAGTTCTGGGGATCTTACATCCTCAACACTCCTCCCCTTTTTAATAGTGTGCTCTCCTAAAGTCGACTTGAATCTTGACTGTTTGAGAGGATACCTTTAGGAATGGAGATCAGCTTGTGACTGAGCTTCTTCTCGTGGGGGTCTGCCGGTAGGTTGAAGGTATCAAGCAGGATGTCAAGAGGAAGATGTTCTGCTCTTGATGCACAATCTGGGGCTAGCCGTTTGCGCATTTGGTTTCGATTGCGTGACCACCTTTCTCCTCCTACCTCTACTTCGTACATAACTCGCCCAACTCTTCTGATCACTCGCGCTTCTACCCATGGACCATAACTTGTTCTGTAGTCACGGGCGAACACAGGGAATCCCGACTCGTAATAGGATTGCCTTTGCTGCTTTGTCTCTGTGAATGTTTGTGCATTAGTCGGATGCATCAGGCTGTGGATCGTTTTCAGTCTTCTTCCCATCAGGATTTCTGCTGGGGACGTACAACACGCACAAGAAAGTTTGTAACGTATCGGTTGGTGTCCTCTCCCCTTTTGATTGAGCCTTTCCTCATTTAAACGTATCCATAAACCTCTCCGCTTGTCCATCCGATTGCGGGTGATATGGTGGCGAGCGTAAGTGCCTAATGGCTAGCCGTTAGCAGAAAGTTTGGAATTGTGTGGAGGTAAATTGAGATCGATTGTCAGATACGATCACATCTGGTAGGCTATTTCGAGAGGAAATTTCGGTCAGGAGCTGTATTGTCTTAGTTGTCATGGGCAGCATAACGAGGCTGATTTCTGGCCATTTTGAGAAGGCGTCGACCACAACTTAGTACGTAGTTCCATTGATTGGACCAGCGAAGTCAACGTGTATCCTGGAACATGGATGATCAGGTTTGGGGTATAAAACTGGCGGAACTTTGGCATTCGCCTTTGACGCTCGCTGACACCGCATATATTT